TAACTAAATAAAATGCAATGCAATGAAATGGTAAACATACTGAAAATTACCATTATAAATACTATTTTTCGGGTTTGGTTTACCTGCCAGCCACTGGCGATCTTCTGATTGAAGATCCCAAACTCATAACGAATGCCATAACCATATGCCGCTAAACCCAGAGATGCCATTGAGTCCAGGAAACAAGCTGAGAGAGAAAGCAGACATCAAACGTCCAATATGACGGGGACAGGTACTAGGATGTAGGGAGTTTTAAATGTACTGTAGGTACCTGCAAGACGCCCGAGCCCTCCGTTTCCCAGCCCTGCATCCTCCTCAATCTCCTCTAATTCTTCCAAATCCAGTCCAAGCTGAAGATCAATATATTGCAGAACAGATCATGTTAAAACACACACACACACACACACACACACACACACACACACAATAAAAACATATATACAACACAAATGTTCACATTGGGCAACAAAATTTCAACCGATCATGCAAATTTCGTGCAGTTTAATGTTTCGGCAATTTCCGTGTTTTCTCATTCAAACAAGGAAGGGTTTAGACTAAGAGTTTTGCAAGCCTGTGGCAACTGGTCTACATCCCCCATGAGCGCTCTGTGGGTGAGCAGGGGAAAAACAACAGCTGTTTCTAAAGTTTCAGGATGTTTAAGTAACAGAGCTCTGGGCCAGTTCTGCAATTCAGTAACAAATGCTTTACAAGAGCATTAAGTTTGCCATGACAGTGATGCATTTTACCTGGTAGATGGCCTCATCACAGGTATTCTGCAGCCCAAGATTTATCATGGTGTTCTGTAGAGTTCTGCCCATGTAGAACTCCAGAGACAGATAGTGGATGCGCTGCAACAAAAAACACACAAATAAAACCTCACTGCATGTGCACAGAGATATCTGAACTAGCAGATCATGTAGGCAGAAGACCATAGAAAAGATGTGACAATACAACCTTACAGTGATCAGAAGACGCAACATTTTACTGTCTAATAAAATTATAACATTATACTCTCTTATAACATTACAATTAATCAGTATATAAACTGAAACAAAAGGTCAACCAATATGTTGTTTTTTCCCCTCAAATTGGCTGTTTATATTATATGAATTCACTCAAATATTATAACATTTATTTAAATATTTTATACAAATATTTGAAAACAGGAAATGTGCATTGCCCACAGACAAAGATGTTAAATGTTTGAATTAAATCAACTCTTAGAATAAATAAATCACTTTAAAATGATCAATGAATTTGTCATGCAATCACAAATTACTAATGACACATTAACATAACTTCCCTATTTATTGTGTTATTAATGTGATATGTTAATGTGTCAATATTAATTTGCAATTAACTGTCAATTGCTTTGTCCTGTTATTAAATATTTTTTAAGAAATGAAATATTTAAATAAATATTATAATATTGGAGTAGATGATTGTAATATTATAATCAGCCACTTTGCTCTCTAGAAAAAAAAAACATTGATCAAACATTAGTTTCTTTCCCAGTTCAAATATTAATTAATTGTAATGTTAGAAGAGCGATTTTATCAGAGAAGTAAATTGTTGCAGTCAGTGTACGCTTGTACTTTCACACTTTTTATATGGTTTACTGCCTACTTATACTCTCTGGTATGTTACTGAAGTACAACATGCCTATTTTAATCTTGTTGGCTTGGTATCAACTTTTCATAAGAGTTCATTCATCAGATGTCTGCACTGGGAGAAGTTTACAGACTGCTGAAGGCCTCAAATCCACATTGAAAAACATCTGAATACCACAGTAATAAATAAATGCATGCTTCAGTTTAACATGCTGAGATGGGGCTTAATCACTGCATAGTGCATACTGTGGGTTTAAATAAAGCGACAGTGTTTTACTGTTTTTCCAAGGGTCTGAACTTCAACAAGCGTAATGCTTGACAAGAGTGAAGTTCCTAGAAATGCTTCACATATTGGTGTGCTCAACCATACAAAGCTATCTGCTTCCATTAAGAGATATCTAGACAGGAGGGACAACACAGGCTACAGGCTTTCCTTACTGGCTCAAAGGACTGCTGAAATTAAGCACACAAATCTCTGGAAAGCAGTCAAGCCCAGAACAGGAACATTCAATAAATAAATAATTTCCAAAAGACCTAAAGTACAGAAAATTACCATGTAATGCTACTTAAATTCAAATTACATGGTTAGATTCAATGTTCATCAACAAACAAGTCACATTAAGCTTCACAGCCACATCAATGGAACCACAAAAGACTAAGAAAAAAGCACTTTCTCCTAGTTACTCTCCAAAAAACCATCATGACCTCCCAACTCAATAGTTGTCTATTAATAGCCACAAGTGATGCTGCACATGGACCATGTCAATGCATTAGATAAAAACCTATTATCTTCAACTGGATTTGACAGTATAGTGCAACTGCAATATGTACTTGCCCTAGTGAGCACAGAGAATAAGTGGTTGCAAAATACTTAACTAATGATGCCCTAATATGACAAGTAACAGATCACACTTTTTTAACAGCTGACCCAATGTCAATGTATGGCCAATGCATAGAACACCAAGCTGAGGAAACAAATACAGGCCTTTAACTCTCCCCAGAAAACAGTGAAATTAATGACTGACTCACAATAAATGAGGAAATGACTGTTCAGGTCATATTCACTAACATTTACAATGCACTATGATGAATATGATAATGGTTTGTGCACTTAATTTTAACTAAAGAAGACACTTGTGTCATACAGCAGTGTGCAATTCTGCAGTAATGCAATTATGGAGGCCCAAACTTGCCAAATGCATAAACAAAACGTTTAAATTCGTAAACATAAATTCCACATTAAATGCATTTCATGTAACTTATCCCACTACTGCACAAACATGCCACTTCCTCGCTGCAAGAGGAGGAAGAGATCCGTACCTTCGGGTCTTTCTCATAGTAATACTGCTGAGTGCGGATCCAGCGGCCCACCAGGTGATCCCGCACCGTGTGAGCCAGGGCGAAGTAATAATCCCGCGGGGTGGCCACATTGCGGTCCTTCACTAGGGTGAAGTGAAGATGCCTGTTGAAGCTCTTTTTGATTTCGACAACATCCCCCAGTCCAGCTATACCACGAACACTGATCTGCTTGCGCTTTTCCTGATCGGTTAGAGGTTTGGACATGTTGCCAATGCGTTTAAAAAGCAAAGAATGAAAATGTGGACCCTTGACTTGTGCACAAGTTTGTGCGGTGCAGAAGGACTTTACACGCACTGTTCCCTGGCTTTGAGACACACCCCTTTGTCAACTGGGGAAGAAGGTGGGCGGGCTTAAATCCAGCCTCTTTATTGGCCAGTGAAACTATCGTAATTGCGTTCCCATAGGTTTCGTGAGACGTCAATCATCCATGCAACGCTAACTAGCCACAGGTTTAATGTATTCTGACCTAGGTGAGCCAGTTTGAGCGAATTCGCCGTTTTAGTGTATAATCAACTGCATTTGGGCCAGCAACTATTATATAATATAGCATTTTGTAACACCATTGCCTTTTTCAGCTCGTGGTAAAGATGACTTAGACTTACCCATATCCTTGCGCTTCATACGAGTCGAATTTCCATTATTATAACTTTTTACTAATTGATACAGTTCCGGATTGATTTCGATCCACAATCTGGCCGTATATGGAGCCTTCAAGCACTCAATAGAAAACATTTAGAAGTGGGAGGAGTCGGATTTAGAAGTGAAATCTGATAAGTACTGTATATGAGTGGTTGACTTGCACTTAGCGTGATGGACTACTATACTTGATCTATAGCTATTTTCAAACATATAATTATACCTAACTTAATCTGCCATGGACCCCCAGATATAATCATTCATCCTAGTGCCAAGCTTTCCTTTCATCCAAGAATTAAAATCGAAAAGACATCTTTCTATTATGTTGCATTATTGTAGACGTCTATATATTATTTATTTAAATCAATCAATTTATAAATAATCTTATTTATTTGTTAAACTATTCCACAGACCCTCAGCACCTCCTTTGTCGCCCCCTTGGGATCCCCGGACCCAAGTTTGAAAATCCCCGTTTTATGGGGTTCAGACAGGAATGCAAGTTGATGTGCTCTCAGGCACATGGAACTGTATTTTCATACCGTTTTCCATATATAGTCAATGGCTTCCACTGCCTTGTCGATACCCATCATTTGCTCCAAATATAGGCAAGTTACAAGGCAAGTTATGCTCACAGACAAGGACAAGGAAACTCATATTTTTTAAATGCTATACAGATTAGAAAATGAAGTTCCTTTTCTAAAAACCTCAATACAACATCCTATGAGTAAACCTGAGTAATATATTGTGACATTTCGGACTGCCCAACCCCTGCATGCCTTAGTGTTGCGACACCTGCTGGTGCAAAGAACGAACAGCAGCAAGTTTGTACAGTTGAAGGACGTGACTGGAGCAAACACAAGCCAGACCACATCCTGCTGTCTCACTTTATGACTTTCTTGTGAACTTTGTGTACTTGCACTTTATCAATACTGGAAGCAAAGTTTTCAACAGACTCAGGTTATATTTTTATGGCATTTCATATAAACATATTTAATACATTTAATAGTAAAGAACATGGCCTCATCAAACAGCAAGTTAATAACTTCATCTGAGAAAAATACATGGACATGACTGCAACAGCTCAGGTCTGTTCTTACCAACAGAAAAAAAATATGTTTTTTTCCCTCCCTCTGAGTGTAGATATTTAATAATAAGTATATGATTTGTTTGAACATAATGCAATATATTAAACCGATCTAAAAGGTAAAAAATAATTAAACATAAGATACAAATGAAATAACTTCAACTTGAGGGAAACAATTTTTTTGATCAGTTATGTATAGTTAACCCTGACTGATATGATTCTGACATGCTGTAAACACTCAGACCAGTACATACATTTTACCTTCACACATAACTTAACACTCTAGTAAGAAACATTCAGAAAGTCAGAGGTATGTATAAAAACTCACATTTTCAATAAGTTCAATGACAAAATGGCAAATACAATCAATGTAGATATTTTCCCCAGAGAATTAAAACCAGCCAGTGCTTTACTGGGTTGTGGAGCGTTACAACGTTGTGAGTGTCTGTGTTTTCAGCACGTTCCGTGCTTACGGAGTGACTCTATGCACTGGAAAGTGGCCCCGAGGGCCCAGCTAGTCTCCACATTATTTATTTGTCTTGCCAGCTGAAATTTAAACAGAATGATGCGGTTAAAGAAAAATCCCAGTTCTCCCATGAGTCATGACATTTGTTCTTCAAAATTAAACAGATAAATCACACACTGCTGTAGTTGACCATATATGTGTGTTGCAATCTGTGTACAAAAGTCACCACACAGTCAGTCCTATTAAGTCAGGAATCATAAATCAAGAGTAGCACACCTTCAGCTCTTTATCAGGCGGGAAGTCAAGCTCCTGAAGAAGTACAGAGATGTAGGTCAGATCCAAACACAGGAACGGAGTCTCATTTATTCCTCCGGCTGACATGTTATTGCACACTGCAACACAAAGAAGAGAATGGATTATTTTTTTGTTGAGTTAAATCTAATATTACAGCAATAATGACATCCTAATAACTTATACCTGCCACAATACTGGGTTGGTAAGATTTTTTTGTTTGCTTTTGAAAGAAGTCATTAGCTCTCACCAAAGCTGCATTTATTTGAGTAAAAACAGTAATATCGTGAAATATTAATACAATTTAAAATATGCGTTTTCTATTTTTCTATATTTTAAAATGTAATTTATTCCAGTTCTGGCAAAGTGATTTTTAGCAGCCATTACTGCAGTCTTCACTGTTTTTTGAAAAATATTTTTGTGGAAACAGTGATGCATTTTTTCTGGATTTTTTAATGAATAGGAAATTCAAAAGAACAGCATTTATTTGGAATCTTTTGTAACAATGTAAAAGTCTTAACTGTCCCTTTTGATCAATTTATGCATCTTGCTGAATAAAAATATTAATTTCTTTCTAAAAAAAAAAACTGATCCCAGACTTTTGAATGGTAGTGTATTTAATTAAGAGTTATTTGCACAAATATAATCAGACTAGCACAACCACATCCAAACACTTACCTTTTTTGGCTCCTTCAATGTAATCACTGACTCTGACAGTTCCCCCTTTGCTTTCATCTGAGACAGAGACAAACTATTTGTATATGACTCATTTGCTAAATCTTAAATCTTAGAAAAAAGAGACAATGTTTGAATCAGATCAAATGACAGCAATCAGACTAATCTCTCACCAATGAGGCCGAGATCCACAGCCCTGTCGTAGTAGTAAGAGAATGCGTAGAAGTCTATGTCTTTTACTTCCTCTGTTTTTCTCACCCGTTTGTAGATCATCTTTTCCACTTTTTTAAGGCAAGACTCATAGATGGGCTCCCCTGGAACAGAGCACATACACAAGTGATTCAAATAAAACACACACAGGTTCACTCTTCATTGATAAACAGGACTGTTTATTATATACGTTACACACACCCATTATATATATATTTTTTATAAGATCTTATGTATGATAAAATTCTGGGGAGTAATTAAACACTCCCCTGTGGTGAAAATCAAGTTTTTAATGTTGTTTATATGTTTATGTGGTGTTTTTAATATGCTTTAAGACAAATTCATAGGTCAACACTATTGCTGAGTATTTTTTTTCTTTAAAACTGCAGTGAAACAATCACGTCAACGTCACGGTGGGCTTTAGCATATCATCATTACTATGCTCTGAAGCAGGGGAGTCTCAAGAAAAATTGGGTAGATTTATATTTATATTATGATGTTATGATGAACTATGCCTTTCTCCACTGACGTTCTAAGTAGTTTAAAGCTTTTCCAAGCATACTGATTTTTAGAAGGCAGACTGAGATTGTGTAACATTAGCAAGACATTATTAGCTGTTTGATAACGTAGTCAAGCAAAAGGCTAATTATATTAATTACCGTTTTGTGTCCGACATTGTAGACAGTGATACATAAACGCATTACCATTCTGATACATCGACTTGTAGACGACCCTATAATTCACTTTTTCTTCTGAATCAGTTTCTGGGTCAAACATATTATGGCTGAAACCAGTATTTCCAGTTGCCATTGTGCAGCGATTACTACAGTAAAGTTGACCGAGTGGACCAGGTATTCTGAGCTCGAGTGAGTAGAGACCATAGTGGAGACGGGGCAGTGATCAAATATGAGTTTAAGGGATAAAATTATTGATTACAGGGGGACTTTAAAGGTTAAATAAATACAAAAACCTAACCCATACGGACAACATATTTCATACCCGCTTTCTGGCCTTTCACAGTATAGAGTACTTCTGCATGCTCCCACTGTCCAGAGTAATCTGAGGCTAGACATGGACTAATCAGCTCTTGGGGTCCTGCTACAGAAGAAGAAGAAGAAGTTTATTTATGCATATTAGCGTTTTTACTGCCACTATGTGGAGTAAGTTCGACACTGCTGAGGAAGACAAATCAAAACATGAGTTCTGCAGTGCCACCAGGTGGCCAAACATAAAAGCACGTTTACACAAATACATGCATGTCTTGTTCATAATAACCTTAAAACCCACTCAGAGAGAAGCGGGATACACTCATACAACAGACAAAACTATAAACAAAGAAATCTGATTACATCTGTAGAGTACTAAATGTAAATCTCAGCAGTAAACTGCATGTAGAAGCTATTGCACTGATGGCAGTTTCTCTCTTTGGCCTCAACTAAATCAGTGCAACAGCTGGCCACCAAGGAATTAATCTTCAGTGCGTTATTAAGAGATTAGATAATGGCTTATTTATCTAGTGAATGAGGTCTTTAAAAGCCAGAGATGAAGAGAGATTGTAGACCACATACAAGGCTGTCCTTCAAACCCTCCCAACACAGCAAGTCTGGCTGACATCAAGCCCAGGCCAAGGTAACTACAGAGAAAGACCAGAGACATTAAAGGGATGAATATGCAAGATACAAAAAAATATATATACAAATACACTACTGATCAAAAAGATTTTTTTTTTTAAAAGAAATGAATACTTCTCAAGTGCTGCTCTTTTGATCTTTCTATTCATCAAAGAATCCTGAACAAATGTATTATAGCTTCCACAAAAATACTTAGCGGCTCAACATTGATAATAAGAAGAAATGTTTCTTGAGCAGAAAATCCTCATATTAGAATGATTTCTGAAGGATCATCTGACACTGAAGACGAGAGTAAAGATGCTGAAAATTCAGCTTTGCATCACAGAAATAAGTTACATCTTAAAATATATAAAAATAGAAAATAGTTATTTTAAATAGTAATAATATTTCACAATATTACTGTTTTGACTGTATTTTGGTCAAATAAATTCTTTCAAAAGCATTTAAAAAGTCTTACTGACCCTAAACTTTTGAACGGTAACGTATAAATACATATTTTATAACATATAACTATAAATCACAAATATTTCAGCATTTCATATGAATGTATGAGATATGAGATTGGACACTTTGGAGCAAGAGTCATTCACCATAAGTGATTCCTCATCAGAGCCGGACAGTAACGGAGTACATTTACTTGAGTACAGTACTTAAGTACAATTTTGAGGGATCTGTACTTTACTCGAGTATCATTTTTGGGGAGTACTCGTGACTTTACTCAAGTACATTTGAGAGGCAAATATTGTACTCTTTACTCCAATACATTTCTATCCATAACCGTGAGTACCCGAGTAAAAAAAAAAAAAAAAGTAAAGAAAAATCTCGGAAACCCTCAATTTGTTGTTTCCCTCTCAAACGTGATTGGATTGTGCAGGCGCCACTGATTGGGACAGCCTATCAGCAATCACTTTCAGCTTTCCGCCAAAGTCAACTCCATGGTCAGATTTTATATTACACATTAATGTAAGCCAAGCATTTGGTTTGATGTTCTTGAGTATGTGGTGTGTTTAACACAGTCAGGTTCAAATGTGGCAGTGGCGTAGCCACGAGGGATTTCTGATTTCTTAAAAAAAAAACTTTAGGAGGCAAAATATATTTTAACTGATTATGTGAATTACACTGCGCAAACCAAAGTAGGCTACTACCCAGCGAATGAAGAAGGGTTGGCGCTCAGTCTCCACAGTACATAAAATATTAATTTTGTTTTATTTTATTTTTCGGGTTTGCATTTATGAGTAAAAAACAATGTTATGGACGTGTTCTCCGCTACGGACGTGAGCGCTCTGAAAGCGGCATAAAAAATGCTTTAAAACTTTCACAGAGACATCAAACAGAAAACACAAAACCTTTCTTTAACCTGAATTTCGTTTTGCATTAATTGTATCTTAATTTGAATCAATGTTTTATCAACCAATTGCCTGGGTTTAATAAATAAGAAGTAAATAGCAGACGATAGATAAGAAACGGAGGCGCCGGCGCGTGAACTGGAGCTCGTCTCATAAATGAACCGAAACACAGTGTATAAGGTAGCCTACTTGCCTCACGTCTACTTTTAAACAGAAAAATTCAAAACGAAAGAAAACAGACTACAGACTGCTCTCTGCTTATGTAATCCGTATGAAATGTGCATTTCTCTCTGGCGCGTTCACTACTGAAGGTCGCGAGTCAGCATCGTCAACTTCATCTAGCCGACACTGACAAAGAAAACACTTGTTTATTAACAAGTGTTCATTAATAAACAATTAAAATATCTCCTTGCTATATTTTACATATTCATAATCATTCCTTTTGCCGGTTCTTTGTGACAGCTTTTAGGTGCTTTATTGGCAGCGCCACCCTTACATGTGGTGTGTGTGTGTGTGTGTGTGTGTGTGTGTGTGTGTGTTGTCCCCGCATTTAAAGATGGGACCCCCCAAAATTTAATTTAATTAAATAAAGCAACATGGTAAAAAGATGAAAATGACTTGATTTTACTTTCAATTCCTTTTACATTCTCCAAGGTATTAACATTAACCTTTTTCATAACTCCATGTAGGACGTTTCTGTAAGCACTGTGGCAGTAGATTATGCAATATTTAGAAAATCTACTCTTGTACTCTTGATACTCAAGTACTTTTAAAAACAAGTACTTTAGTATTTTTACTTAAGTAGACATCTGAATGTAGTACTTTTACTTGTACTTGAGTAAAATTTAGCAAGGGGTATCTGTACTTTTACTCAAGTAACAAAGCTCTGTACTCTGTCCGCCTCTGTTCCTCATCCAACACTATCTTGCCTTTTAAACATCAAGGAGTAAAGACTCTGTTTGGTTGGCCTCTGGTGGAGGGTTTGTTGCGTCAAATCTCCTGCAGTGAATAACTAGTAATTCTAGTAATCTGGAGATGAGTCCCACGATGGGATTGTAATTGGAGGCTTGTGTGATTACACTCTAATCAGGAGAGCGAGGCGAGGCAAACACACACTGCCTCATAAACACTTGTCATGCACTAATCATTGAGCTAACATAACCTAGAAAGCCCTGGACAACCCTGACCAAGCACAACAACCAACGGGTGGTGGTGTCAAACATCGGGCAGAGCTTTGATCCGGGCGCTAGAGGACTGCAAGTCACATAACATCACTGTTGGGCCGCTGAGGAAGCTGAAGTTTTTACAGGGGTCCTATTATGCTTTTCCACTTTCTCACCTCTAGTTAGTGTAATGTTGCTGTAATTGAGCATACAAAAGATCTGCAAGTTTACAAAGCTCAAAGTCCACTCTAAAGAGAGATACAACAAACGGCTCGTTTGGACTACAACACGATTTTTCCGGATCTTATGAAGTCATAATGTTACTCATTTAAATAATCCCCGCCCACGGAATATGCAAAAAGGGGTCGAGTCCTGGTTGAGCTGCATTAAAGACAGTGTAGTCGCAAAGACACTGTTTTTTTCCACCCTGTTTCCAAAACTCATTTGTTTGGCCTTCCTAAGGCTGGTGGTTAAAATTTATTTTAAAAACTTCCTAAACATTATAATCACAACGTTTATCTGTGCACTGCACATTTTATGGTGAACAGCTTGTTTTCTATTGCTTTGGTAAGCTCTCGCTTTTGTAGGACGGTTTACCGCTCCATAGGAAAATTAACCATGTTTTTGTGATCGATTACTGTTTGTATTAGCTTAGTTTTCTGACAAATATCCCGATTAAATGGTGGATAACATCGTATCTATAATGCATAAGAAAATTACTAAAAACATACCACTCTGAAACGACCTATGAAATCTGTCCATGAAATCAGTTCTGCACGATCCTCTTGTTGTTAACTTTGTCAGGGTCTGAATCGGGCTCAAATTGGTTCGAAATTGACGCCATCCTTATTCATATTTACACTAGAGAAGAACTCGCAGTTATGGAGGGGAGGGACATTTCCCAAACACGCGCTAAACGGTGCCAATCACAACACACTGGGACAGCTAACCAATCACAGCACATTTCGTATTTCGGAAGGAGGGGCTTCATCGAAATTGGCGTGTTCGAGCCAATAATGTAAAATATGTGAAAAATAATGCATTCTTTAAACAATCAAGCATGAAAGCATTTTCTAGTACACCCCAAAAACAAAAGCAAGACTTCGTAAAAGTGCATAATAGGTCCCCTTTAAACAGTAATATGCTGAAACTATAACTATAACTTAAAATGGATGTACTAAAGACTTGCATGAGGATATTGTATATTTAATTGTTCGTGCTCATTTTCTATATTTTTACATTTAATATTACCATCCTCTAAAAATCTCACTTAATGTTAATCTTTAAAAACAGTTTAACAACTTAATGTAAAATAAAATTAAAATAAAATAAATATCCATTTTTCATGCTGTGCGTTATAATGTTGTGATGCCTAAAATTTACTTGCAATTAAAATAGTTGATTTCTGTCGTTAATCTTTCATGTTTTATTTATTTTTACAAAATAGTATATAATTTTAAAATTTGCCATTTATGGGTATCAGCCAGAAATAATATTTTTTCTCAGATTGCTCAGTGAGTGTCAAAAATAAAATAAAAAGAAAGAAAGAAAAATGCCTTTTTTTTTTTACACGTGTTAAAAGATTTTACAGAAGGATCTCTTCTACAGAATTCAACAGCATAATATATTCGCTATATTCTTTACCACTTTAACTTATGCCCTGCCCGCCTTTACCTGTGTGAGTAGAGGGCGTGACTGATGTTGAACATCTGAAACGATGTCACATAATCAATGGGTGAGGTCTGGATGGTTTTCTGTACCGGAACGAAACACAAACAAGCAAATATTGATTTATAAAGGTAGCATTCCTATCTTCTTAAGAAGGAATCTGGTAGAATGACAAATATTACAATTCTAGTTTGTACTAGTCTCATTACTGCATTTTTTTGTCCAGTATACTTTTTCAAAACAACATTAGTCAGCAACTGCCTAGTGTAGCAGTTTTAAGTCCAGACTATAACACAACATCTGTCAGCAACTACAAGTAAGCTGCAATCTGTAGAGCAGTTCCTCTCTGAGCTCATGTTTGGAACTAGAGCTCTCGGAGAAACTGTGTAATGACATAATAAATTGGTCCTCAATCCAAACCGCCTGTACAGGACCTGACCTAGTTCAAGAGAAAGAATCTCTCTAACTCTCTCCGTCCAATGTACAACAACCTTCATTTAAAAGGCCTATGGGATTAACAGGACATTTGCGGATTAATGCATGGGATGGGAGAACATCAAGGTAGTTTGTTAAGAGAGACATGACTTCATTAACATGGGTATACAGATATTTGTGTGTGTGTATGTATATATATATATATATACATATATATATTTATATGCATGCACACGGCTCACTTCATCCTGTAGAGCAAAGGTGATCTGGGTCGAGCCCCCTCCTAAATCCAGCATGCCTACTGTAGGAGTCTCAGTGCCATGAAGACTACCTGTGAAGGAGAGACGTTTTAAATCAGGAACAAACCAAACATTTTCAAGTAAAAGTAAAGAAGAAAACAAAAGTAAATCGTTTGCATGTGGGCAGGGTGACTGTTGAAAGTCACCCTGTTTGTGAAAGTCAGACTATTTGTGTCCAGATTAATCTTTGTTATTGTTCTGTTGATGTTCATTGATTACATTGTCGTGACGTACAGTATAACATGACTACTAAAATTGCTTACCTATTAAAAAGTTTATGGTAATCCAAGCTGACATGCCTGTGTAAATACAAATGTGCATTAATTGTTAGCGCAATGATTACATTTTCCTTAAACTTTTTTAGTTCATTGTACTATAAAAAAATACTACTTTCTCACAGTCCTACTAAAGCTAAGCTGCAAAAAAACATTTCAGGCAGAACAATACATTAATCATTTATTACCCACACTTACACATGTATGGCCGGACCAGTCGCAGTGATATAATACAGAAAAAGATGGATCATTATTCTTAACACAAAAGAGCTACTTCTAAGAATAAACTGTGGAATAAAGAGAATAATAATAAACTCCTGGCTGTGTGTAGCACCTACAGGTATGCAGATCCATCCGACAGATCCCAACATCAGAAACGAGCAGTTGTTATTTAACAAGATCTGAATTTTCAGCTTTATTACTCCAGCATGATCCTTCAGAAATCATTCTAATATGCTGATTTGGTGCTAAAAGGGATACTTCACTCGAAAATTTAAATTCTGTCATCATTTACTCCCTCAAATTGTTCCAAACCAGTATGTGATTTTTCTTCTGTTGAACTAAAAAGAAGATATTTTGAAGAATGTTAGTAACTACACACAGTTGACAGTAGCCATTGTGCCATAGTAGAAAAAAAAAAATACTACGGCTAATGTCACCTGTTTGTTTACCAACTGTCTGGTTGTTCTGTGTTCAACAGAAAAAAAGACACTCATACAGGTTTGGAACACCTTGAGGGTGAGTAAATGATGACAGAATTAACATTTTTGGATGAACTATGCTTCAATGTTGATACAGTTGAAAACCAGTGCTGCTTAATATTTTTGTGGAAACTGCTATTTTTTTTTCAGGATTCTTTGATGAACAGCTTTATTTGAAATAGTCTAATATTAATTAACATTATAAATGTCTTTACTGTCACTTTTGATCAATTTAATGTGTCCATGCTGAAAAACACAAACAAGTACTGACCCCAAACCTTTGAACAGTACTGCACATCGTATGCTGTTGGACTCCATACATTTAGAGAGTTTAGCATTAACATATAGTCATGGTCCGGCCAGATCACAAAGACTTTGGCGAGTGAGTGCATCATTGGATCTTTGTGCTAAAACTCTTATAAACTGTATGTTTGTTTTGAATGTAGGTTGCTTCTTAACAAAGTAAGGGGCTTTAGCTCTCAGAAATAACCAAACTCACTTAGTATCTATAAACTCCATCCCTCCATCCCGTTCCCTCACATATACCACTTAGGCACAGCATTAACAATAAGTCTGTAAGATTTGCTGTGATGGACTAATCTGGTTGGGTAAGCTTGTGTGTCCAGGAGAGTTTAGACTCACGCTGATAATGAGACTGAGATTATCCGGTTACGGGACCTGCAGAGTTTAAGCATTAATTTTACAAAATTTCAAACACAAATTGCTACCCATTAAGCAAAGACAACTTGTATATCAACAAAAAAGCAGTATTAACCTGGCTTTTGCTAAACACTGTTTGCCCATGCTAGTTTTGTTCCTTTAAAAGCAATTTACTGCCTAGCAAATTAATGGCCGCTAATCTGTTTGCTGAGATTATAGTGCACACGGGACATTATCCTCTGGTCTCATTATTACTTGTGTGAACTATTTTAAAGGATTGGATTAAAGTGCCATATACGCATTATCTATCGTTAATATACACACACAGCTCAAGCCATTACTGAAGAAAATTTCAATTTACAACTTATATCTTTATGCCAGAAGCGCGAATGCTTGACCGCAGTGGCCAGAAGCTTTTGACGAGCTGGAGATCTACAGTAACATCTGGTGGTTTCACATTCCAGACGGACAGAATCCTGCATGGATCATAGCTCAGCAAAACACTGCAACATTACAGTCATAGAAACGAGAACCTTTGTCATCTGTTCAAACTTTCAGGATGTGCTTCCTTAGTTTTCCTAATGTTAAAAAAATAACCCTAAAATGTTCAAAGTAGCTTGTCAAACAAAACCCAGTTGATTTGTTAGCTGAGACTGTAAAGTCACTTTTTGATTACAAAAGTACATTAAGGTTGTTTGGTTAATAAAAGTGTGAGGATTCTATTATTATTATGAATTTGTTTATTTGCTATTTAAATAATTTGACCCTCATACCGTTGCGGTATGAGGGTCAAATTATTTATATAGCAAATAAACAAATTCATAATAATGAATTAAAAACAAATTACAAAAAAAAGCCCTGTTGTTAAATTAAATAGATGCTAAAAAGTGACACTGCAATAGATTTTTCCTTTCAATATATGGTAGGCTACACAATGCTTAGAAGTTGTAGAATATTCTATTACAATTTGAAAACGAACACTCTTGTTTATTACAAATCTGACATTATTAAGTAGGGCAAAGGAGTAATTGACAAGGTACCTTCGTCTGTGCCATCCATTATTGACACACTGTCCGGTCTATAGAAGAACAAGGATTCGCTAAACACCTCCCTCACCTGCAGCAGAGAGATTTCAGGTTTTAACATGGCAAGACATGGTTAGAAAATACTGAGATGACACGCTGAAGAACAAGAAATACCTGAAGACAGCTCTCATTTCTACAACCTTACTAAACGTTTAGTGTATTAAAAAAATAAAACTTTTACTCCACCCTTTACAGTAACTTTGTACTGCATGTCACTGTCTCCTTAAAATTGTGTTGAAGTATTCCTCATTTATAAGCTGCTTTGAAAAACTAAGACAACATCTGCTAAATTAACAATTGTAAAAGAAACTGAAATTTGATTATATAGTAACCGAATACATTTAGTTAACTCAAAGCACTAGCCCCGCGTACTAGCTGTAAGAGGGTAAAGAGATTTTTCTAGGGGGTTTTATAATAGGTTTTTTTTCAATTTATATATACTGGAATTTCAAACTTCGATATGATACCTTGAGAAATATTGATATTCGATAACATTTTCGATACCACAGGAAAAAACGTCCATATATACCAGCATACAGATAATTTGTTATGTAAATGAATTAAATTAAAGTTACAAAACAAGATCAGCGAGTGATTTTCTCTTTGTCTTTTGTTCTTTGATTAAGATGACAGACAGCAGCAGGTTTATTAGACTGCTGTAACTTTAAGAGATCATGCATGGATCCAATATACTATTACACCGTTACTGATACTGTTGACCATTTAATCGCAATAAGCCACGAAAAAGAAGACAATTTAGTACTCGCGATCTGTTTGAGGGCGGCTTTATGAGAGCGCTACTTATATAGATCAGTGGTGAGCGTGCTTTTGGTGAGAGCGTGAAACCTGTGGGAACGAGTAAAATTAAGTTTAATACAAGCACTATTCAACCGGAGTGAATGAGATAAGTGAGTGACAGGAGGTGGGTGTGTGTCAATTCGCCGTCGGAGAGAAGATAGAGAGAATGCGCAGCTGGCATCTGTGTATCGATACTGCAGAAAAGGAGTATTGGAACCATTTCAGATATTTCAGTATTGATACATCTCAAAATATTTATATTTTTGACAACACTAGTCTGCGGTAAACATAACTTGACGATACTTTCGTTCCACAACGTAAACTGTACACTTACACTACAAGTGTTCTTATCTAGTGACTTATTAGAAACATAGGCTATGTTGTTTAAAAAAAATAACAGCTTCAAAATTTACATTGTAGAGCAAAATGTTCAAGTATCGTCAAGTTATGTTTACCACAGACCTTATTTTATTCATAAATTGAAAAACCCCATAGGAAAATCTTGAGGGAACCACTGGCGAATCAGTCTTCTGGGTTTTGACGTCATCCCTGCACCACTCTATAAAGTGAAAGTTTGTTTGGCGACTGATGGATCTCTGACCTTGTCCAGCAGGATGGTGGCCTTCTCACCAGGCAGCAGTCTGAGCCCTGCCGTGGCTCTGAGCATAAGAGGGGAAGAACTCCATAACGTTTCAGGAACCGTGTCTTTAGCAACCTTTAAAAGTCCCAACAGCCCCTCCTTACTCTGTAAACAACAGCACTGGCTACATTAATATGACCATCAAACTGTAGACGGAAAAGATACTATAACAAAACCTTTGCAAAGGCATTCGCGAAGGGTTCAAAACTATACAACTTGATCACATTTTACTGGTTACCTTTTCTGGGTCATCAGCATATGCAGACAGTCCAGGTTTTATAGCTCTAAATGTCTCATGGGCTAATTTTGGAGCTTCTGTTAACACAAAGACAAATGTTAGCTTTTAAAACAGTGAAATATCATAAAATTGATTTATAAAAAATATATTTACACACTAACATTTTGGTTTTTTTTAAAAGAAATGAATACTTTTAATCAGAAAGGAATCGGATGCATTAAATTGATCAAGTGGCAGTAAAAAATGTCAAATTAATGCTGTTCTTTCCCACTTTCTATTCGTCTTCAGAAGCCTGAAAAAAATATCATGAAAACCTTTTAACACTAATAAGTGTTTCTTGAGCAGCAGATCAGCATATTAGAATGTTTACTGAAGGATCATGTGACACTGGAGTAATGGCTGCTGAAACTTCAGCTGTGCCATCAGAGGAATCAATTACATTTTAAAATGTATTAAATATAAAACGTCTTGGTTACTAACGTAACCTCAGTTCTCTCTAGAAGAGGGAACAAGTGTTGCGTAAGCTAGCTTACGCTACGGGAAAACCTCTTTCTTGAGAATACTGAAGCCAAAAATGATCCTTATAATTTTGTATTAATTTACAACACATTTGCTGCAGCGAGCAGACCTAGGCGAGGCAGGCTAAGGCCTATTGCTCTGCGGCAACCAGATGGTAGCACAAGCACGGCAGGGTTACGCAACACTCGTTCCCTCTTCTAGAGAGAACCGAGGTTACGTTAGTAACCGAGACGTTCTCTTACGAGAGTACTCTCGTGTTGCGTAAGCTAGCTTACGCTACGGGAACCCAATTTAAAACGCTGTGCGTGCTAAATCTACCACAACACTGACCCAAGGGCGAGTGCCCTGAGTTCATATGATATGGGGATATAAAAGCCGACAGGGAGTGGGCTAATAAGAATGATATAAGGCAACATGGTGAACAAGGGTGCTTATAGTCAGGGAGCCAAAGTCTCAAAAGCTCAATAAAATGGGTTGAACCTGACAGGTCTGTCATACTTTTTATTTGTGTTTTTTCTGTTAACTTTGACCCTAAGAACCAATAATTGGAGGGTCTGCTCTGCCGAAAATATCGCGAAAACAAATTGTGGCCATTTTAGTGTATGCACCCTTTATTTTTTATCTGAAAAATGTGAAAAATGTTTTTTTTCATCAAATCCTTAATGGGTTGGGTAGGCTGTCAATAAATGCATTCCAGATACACAGAACACATGTGCTGACAACATCCACTGAAAAAATAACTCTTAAAACACATTTTTACATGATTTTGCATCAATTTAATGCAAAAAATTAGGCATTTTCTCACTTTTTTCCAATATTTTCATCTTTACTTCATTGGCAGTCAACTATTCCCCTAAGTTATGACATCAGTCAATATGCCATTCTTTTCACCAAACACTATACTCATTCCACAGAAAAAATTATAAAAATCCAACCAAAATCAATGGATCTGTGATGATTTCACTACAAGTTGGCGATCAACAGGCTCAGAACTTCAATAGAATTTTAGACTACTCTCAAAATTCTTAAAAACATGCTGGATATTTAGCATCATGGCACACTTACACACACACACACACACACACATGATCTTAGTAATTTTAATGAGTTTGGAACAACCAACCAACGGTTACCAACGGTTACCAACGGACTTCGAAGCTGCTCATCATTGTCTGTGGTAAGTGACAGTGACTTTAGTGAATACCAGTAGGTCTGCCCCAGCGTTTTGGGAAAAGAATGGTAATATGGATATTCTAATGGTAATTAACTGAAAGGACCACGCCAGTCTTCAAACAAGTATATTTCTGATGATTCTCATCCCAAACGTATCCCTGTAGCAGCAGCATTCATTCTCTACTAGTTTACTTAGCTAGCTTTAGCCGTTTTAGCTCATTTCGGTGGTTTCTTTAAACGGCCATAACTCCTCACAGGTATGGAGCATAGACTGTAAAAAATATGGACAAAGCGTCTGTGACGTCACCCATAGACTTTCTGAAGAACGGTTTTGAGGCTGTTTATGGGGGGTATGGGCGGTGCCATCTTGGAAAATCTTACGATATTTCAAATACAAATGTTCAGAAAGGATACAGAGGTGGTATGATGTGTTGTGTCAGATCATGGCCGAGACGTCAAATTTCAGGAATTCCACTCGGCGCAGCCCGTTATCAGCTGTCAATCACGCGCTTATTTGTCATACATTTTATATCTAAATACGATCTAAACTACAGAGTTAGAAAAAAATTCACCCCCTCACAGTTGTCAGGCACTCGGGACCTATCCAAAAATACAATAAAAGTCCATGGGACCAACATGTAAACATATAAATTTATGCTGTGAAAACGGACATTTTAACCTGGGTCTATGGATATTTGCTCCCTTTTGGGACCTCCCTCTAGCGGATTTTCGATGTATTGCAGTTTTTCGCACTTCCGGGTAGGCTTCATTTTTCAGATTAGAATGTTGCCGCTTGGTATATGGAGTAGAGATTTACTTTTTTTTTTTTTTTTAAATGCTCAGAATCTTATGCTCTAAGAGAGGTATGTGTCCTTTATGTCCATTTTGCTTCGACCGGAAGTTGAGAAATTGTGAATAAATGCTGCTACAGGGATACGTTTGGAGCGAGGAATCATTGGAAATACACTTGTATGAAGGCTGGTGTGGTCCTTGAAGTGTTTTTCATGTCAGACAGATAGTAGGCTAGTAAGGATAACTAAAGGCTACACTAAATGTTAGCTGCCGTTAGCAATTAGCTACATGGCTAGTTGTTACGTTCAGGTTTAGAAAAGTTTTAGCTAGTTAGCTTGTGGCATGAATGGCCACACAAAAAAAACCCGATATATAGCTATATTGGATATCAGACTGTACACAATACTGAACAATACAAATGTTCTGTAATATGTAAACATACTATATATTATGCATAGTTTGTTTTTGTATGTACAGTATAAAGAGTGAGTGATTTGTCAAAAGTTAGTTAGCTAGTAGTAATAAAATGAATTATTATTATTTGTGGGCGGCTTTCAAGACACTCAAGGACACCTTACAATAATAAAATACATAATTATACAGATGAACACAACAACACAGTAAACAATACAAACAAAAAAAGTAAAAGTGATTTGTAAAATCAATTACCCAATAACATAACTAAAATCAACCAGGATAGGCTAATCTAAAAAAATGAGTTTTAAGACGTGATTTAAAAATTGAAAGACTATTACGTATATCTTGAGGTAAAGTATTCCAAATTGCCGGAGCAATGCAACTAAAGGCTCTACTTCCCATAGTAGTCAAACGCACAGATGGTACAACAAGAGTCACAGAAACAGAAGACCTGAGGGATCGGGTAAGTACATACACATGAAGAAGTTCACTCAAATATGAAGGTGCTAGATTATGAAGAGCCTTATAAGTAAAAAGTAAAATTTTGAATTGAATACCATATCTGATTGGAAGCCAATGAAGGTGCCCTAAAACTGGAGTAATATGCTCATTCAACAGTGTTCGTGTAATGATCCGAGCTGCTGAATTCTGAACCATCTGAAGTTTATGAATAAGTTTCTGTGAAACACCACTGAGCAGAAAGTTACAGTAGTCACTTCGAGAGGAAACTAATGCATGCATGAGGACAACAGTACCATTAGCAGAAAGAGATGGTCGAAGACGATAAATATTTCGCATATAGTAGTATGCGGACCGTGTAATATTATTTACATGAGCCTTGAAAGACAGAGTACTATCAAGGATGACACCCAGACTCTTGACCTGAGAAGAAGGAAAGATAACAGAGTTGGCGATAGTAAGTGTTTTATTAGTACCTACTAATAAAATTTCAGCTCCCTTTCAGTCGCTCATGTGCGACGTAACATTGACGTGACGACGGTTTTGGGATCACTTCAGGGAGCCCTATCAACTTCGAGTGTCTACAGAACGGGCCAATGAACGTTGGCGTGCGTGAAACGCGTCACCGCCCCGCAGTGCGGGTATAAACAGGAAGTGGGCGCACGCACACATTGTCTTTCACTTAGGAGCCGAGCTTTCGTTTGACTCTGAGTTCTGCAGACTGCTGCAACGTTGAAGACTCCAGAAAAGCAAGACTCTGAATCCAGTGCTGGTGTGACTGCGCGATCAGCGGTGGCCTCGAGCATTTTACAGCTCACAACTGCTGTTTTCACACCATTGCTTGTGTGTGTGTGTGTCGGTCTCGGTGGGCGTTTCTCTGTGAGTGTGCACCCCGATTATACTGCGGCTATCCCTGGGTGCTTCAGCACGGAAAGAGTTTCTATTTCTGTTTTTTGTTTTCACTAAAAGAGCAACACAAGCGTGACCCTGCGTCCTTTTCAGGATGTCTTTCCGTTCATGCGTTTCTGAATGCGGTCATTCCCTGGCGCCAGCAGACGGCCACAATAGTTGTGTTACAATAGCTTCTCGTGTTTGGGCATTCAGCACGCTGAGGCAGCTTTTGTGAATAGTTCATGTTCCCATTGCGGGAATATGACTATGACAGTGCTAAGATCGAGACTTGCTTACCTCAAGGGAGGTGCAGTCCCCTCGCCTATGCCCCGATCTAGCGTTTATTTTGGACCTCAGAATAAACCTACTTCTGTGCATGGTCAGGGTGATCTGAGGGTGATCTGAGAATTTACATGAGGGCTTCCTCACCGAGGCAATCTCCTTGGGTCCCTCACACCTCACAAACGCTGCCGCCATTGGAGCCCCCAAAGGAACGCGCTGGTCCTTCTCATGGACGACCAGCCGTGTCGTCGATCACAGCATTGGAGGGGGAGCTTCAGTCCTCTGGAGATGAGGATTCGGCTGTGTTGCCCCCTTCAAAGGAAACCGCACGTTCCGTTGGTCAGGGGATGTCCACCTTGGTGGTCCAGGAGCGCCACCTTTGGCTCAACCTGACCGATATGAGGGACACCGATAAGAATCGGTTCCTGGATGCCCCTCTGTCCCAGGTTGGATTATTCGGCGACGCGGTCGAGAGCTTTGCCCCACCCGTCCGTCGGCCGCAGACCCTCCATCCGCTCGTCACTGAGGTCGACCTCCTGTGGAA